GCAACCTCCGCCTCCTGGGTTCAGGCAATTCTCCTGCATAGCCTCCTGAGTAGCTGGGATTACAGGCACGCACCACCATGCCCAGCTAATTTTTTGCAGCAGAACTCATAAACCCCCCTTTTTTTCCCCAGGTGCTCTGTCCCAGGGAGTTAGGGCTTTTTTTATGAGCTTCTGTTGCGCTGCTGCCTTTTTTCAGGGCTGCGGTGCCCAGCGAGGAGGCAGCCTAGTAACTGTCTGCCTGCAGAGCCTTTGCTGAGCTGCTGTGGGCTCCGCCCAGCTGCCATATGAACTTCCCTGCAGTCCAGTTTATACGGGTATAGTTAGAACTGCCTCAGCAATGGCAAACTACCTCTGTAGTGGTGGACTGCCTTGGTAATGGCGGATGCTCCTCCCCCGCAGAGCTGGATAGTCCAGGGTTCAGCTATGCTTGCTGTGAAATTCTCAATCCAGAGCGATTCCGATTGCTGTTTTTTTGTGGGGGTGGGACCAGCCGAGCCTGATCACCTGGCTCCCTGCCTCAGAGCCCTCTTTTTTTTTTTTTTCTTAATGGTCGATTGTCTCCCAGGTGTTCCAGTTGCCTGTTGAAAAGGCGCCAGGATCTGTGTGATTTCCCATGCGGTGACCCGCTGCACCTGCTGAAACAGCCGCACTGAGATTTGTGGAGCTTTTTTGCCTGGGAATCTCCTGGCCTGGCTCCCTGCTTCAGTCCCCTTTTTTTTATCCGTTGAATGGGTGACTCTTTCTCCCAGGAGCTCCAATTGCCAGCTAAAACAGCGCCCAGACCCATGTATTTTATAAGGAGAACCGCCATGCTGGGGTGCCGGCAAAACAGCCGCGCTGGTGACCCATAGGGTTCCTCCTCCTGGGAATCTCCTGGTCTGTGGGCAATAACAATCCGTCTGGAAATGCAGTGTCCACTCACCCTGCGCCTTCGCTGGGAGCTGCAATCCTGAGCTGCTCCTAATCGACCATCCAGGATCCGTCAGCAATTTTTATTTATTTATACGTTTTTTGAAACAGAGCCTTGCTCTGTCACTCAAGCTGGAGTGCAGTGGTGCAATCTTGGCTCACTGCCACCTCTGCCTCCCAGGTTCAACCGATTCGATTCTCCTGCCTCAGCCTCCCAAGTAGCTGGTATTATAGGCACCTGCCACCATGCCTGGCTAATTTTTGTATTTTTAGTAGAGGTGGGGTTTCACCATGTTGGCCAGGCTGATCTTGAATTCCTGACCTCATTTGATCCACCTGCCTTGGCCTCCCAAAGTGCTGGGATTACAGGTATGAGCCATTGCACCTGGCTGACTCGCTAATTTTTAAAAAAATTTTTAGAGGCAGGGCCTTGCTATGTTGCCCAGGCTGATCTCGAATTCTTACCCTCAAGCGATCCTCCCACTTCACCCTCCCAAAATGGCATTGAGCCACTGTGCCTGACCTGAAGTAATAATACCTCAAAATATTTTTGGCATGGTGGCTTCTTGGCCTTGATTATCTTGCTCTGTTTGGCTGGCTTTGCAGAAGGGAGAGAGACCAGAAGAAATGAGAGGCATTCTAACTTACCAGAGCATACACTGCTGTTAGCAGTCTATGACACACAGAAAACACTGGTATCACTTCACAGATCTGGAGTCTGCCCAAGCTGTGTCATCTTGTTTTTTTTTATAAACTGCTTAAGAAGACTCAGAATGAGGCCAGCAATATAATTTAAGTGCATTAATTTTTCTTTTCACTTTTCAGGCTGGAGTAAAAGGGACATTGGGAAGATTAGTTGGAATTTTTGAGGTAAGTCTGTTAAAATCTTTGGTACAAATGATATGTATTAATAACCACACAGAGACCGGGCGCAGTGGCTCATGCCTATAATCCCAGCACTTTGGGAGGCTGAGGCAGGCAGATCATGAAGTCAAGAGTTCGAGACGAGCATGGCCAACATGGTGAAACCCCATCTCTACTAAGAATACAAAAATTAGCCAGGCGTGGTGACACATGCCTGTAATCCCAGTTTTCTCGGGAGGCTAAGGCAGCAGAGTCACTTGAACCCAGGAGGCAGAGGTTGCAGTGAACCAAGATTGTGCCACTGCACTCCAGCCTGGGTGACAGAGCAAGACTCTGTTGTGGGGGGAGGGGACCACAGATACCAACATCGGAAAAACGCCATCTTTGTTTCAGCGAGTTTTTTTTTTTTAGTTATTTTTAACTTTTTGAGGCAACGTCTCACTCTGTCACCCAGGCTGGAGTGGAGTGGGGTGGCACAGCCATAGCTCACTGCAGCCTTGGACTCCTGGGCTCAAAGTAATCTCCTGCTTCAGCCTCCCAAATGTTTTTTAGAGACAGGGTCGTGTTGTGTTGCCCAAGCCAGTCTCTTAACTCCTGGGCTTAATCGATCTCCTGCCTCAGCCTCCCAAAATGCTGGGATTACAGGGGCGAGCCACCATGCCCCACCTCAGTGAGTTTTTTTTTAAGACGGGGTTTTACCATGTTGGTCAGGCTGGTCTTGAACTCCTGACCTCAGGTGATCCGCCCGCCTTGACCTCCAAAGTGCTTGGATTACAGGCGTGAGCCACTACGCCTGGCTAAAAGTTGTCAGTATATTGTCTCTCTCTCTTTTTTTTTTTTAAAGATGGGGTTTCACTGTGTTGGTCAGGCTGGTCTTGAGCTCCTGACCTCAGGTGATCCGCCACCTTGGCCTCCAAAGTGCTTGGATTACAGGCGTGAGCCACCACACCCAGCCTCGGTGAGTTTTTTAAAGAAAACAACACCTACAGAGAATAACATGCTTTAAAAAAAAGAAAGAAAGCAAGGAAGAAATCCCATAGTCTCCTCTAAACTACTAGAATTATTTGTAAGTATTATTTTACCCCATTCCTACCTTTCTTCCTCTTCTCCGAAGGTAAGAGGAAGAACAGCTAAGAGTAGAGAGACAGAAGAAAAATAGAAGACAAGTAACTGTTACAAAGGAAAAACAGGGAAATAAGCTGTGATAAAAATTTGAAAGAAGTCAGGGAAAAAAGTAAGAAGTAAAGATCAGCCAAGGCTGGGTGCAGTGGCTCATACCTGTAATCCCAGCATTTTGGGAAGCTGACACAGGAAAATCACTTGAGGCTAGGAATTCAAGACCAACCTGAGCAACACAATGAGACCCTATCTCTCTCTTTTTTTTTTTTTTGGACAGGAAGTAAATGTATTGTTTCATATTATGAGGGGGCAGCACAATGGAAGCCCTCATAAGTACAGGGCCCGCCACTTGTCCAGAGGGCCACGATTGGGGATGTACTTAACCCCACAGCCATCTGGGATGAGCCGCTTCTCAGCCACCATGTCTTCAAATTCATCAGCATTGAACTTGGTGAAGCCCCACTTCTTTGAGATGTGGATCTTCTGGCGGCCAGGGAACTTGAACTTGGCCTTGCAAAGGGCCTCAGTCACATGCTCCTTGTTCTGCAGCTTGGTGCGGATGGACATGATCACTTGGCCAATGTGAACCCTGGCCACAGTGCCCTGGGGCTTTCCAAAGGCACCTCGCATGCCTGTTTGGAGCCTACATTGGGGTAGTGCAAGGTCAGACACATGAACATATGTCTGGAAGGCCTGTCTCCAAGGTCCCTTAGAGCAACCTATACAAGAAACAGGCTGCATACACTACCGAGGAAGCTGCTGTTTGCAGCCATTGCACACTGGGCTCCCATGAGGAAAAGAATGAGACCCTATCTCTACAAAAAGTTTAAAAAATAAAAATATCAAAAGAAAGGTCTCTGATGGAAAAAATACATATGTAAAAAAAAATTTTTTTTTTTTAATTTTTTGAGACGGAGTTTCGCTCTCGTTGCCCAGGCTGGAGTGCAATGGCGCGATCTCGGCTCACCGCAACCTCCGCCTCCTGGGTTCAGGCAATTCTCCTGCCTCAGCCTCCTGAGTAGCTGGGATTACAGGCATGCGCCACCATGCCC